TCCTGTAGGCAGAGCCCCAGGCTAAGTATTCCAGTCCGGTGTGCACCTCTCGCTGAGATGCATAGTTACTGAGGTGGGACACCAAGCGTATCCGGAGAGGGTCTGTACTGTCACGACCCTCAATGATGCTTAGGTAGCGAGCGGTCTCTGCCAGGCACTCCCTGAAGCCCAGGCTACGGTAATCCTTAGCAAGAGCATGAGCCTCAAAGTAACCTGTCAGGGAAGGAAGCACAGCCAGACAGTTATTTAAGAAGTACAACATGGACGTATTTATTTATCATCCAAAGCCAAATAACTGTCAGTTACCTTTGCCACCAGAAGCATGAAGCATCTTCAAATGGTCCACGGTCATTTGCAATATTTCTGCTTTTTCCAGCTTAGCTGATCCCTATGAAGAAAGAGAAAGAGAAGAATGGTATCACTTTTAAAGAAATCAGCAAATGTGTCTTAAGAAGGCAATGGAAGAAACCAAATTACCTGTTTCTCAAAGGCACTTGGCACTAATCTCCTCAGTTCTGACAGACTGTTATTGATTCGGTCTCGTCTACGTTTCTCAATAATCTGTACCCAAAAAAAGTCATATAGAAGTTAAAAAACAGTGGAATCTAGCAGTGAGCAAGTTGGCAGCAGAGATAATACGTTTCCTCACCCCTCTGCGCCTTTTTCTGGCTTGAACTTGAGTGGTTGTGGAAGGTGACATCGAGCCGTACGAGTCAAGCTGTCTGAAAATTTAAACATACAAATTAAAATATATGGAAACAAAACATGATGCATCAACAAATGGCAAGACTACAAATAAAAAGACACAGGAAATAAAGCTGAGAGCTTGCAGTTTAAAACACGTGCGTGATATTACAGAAAAGTTTGTTAAAAACAACAACAACCAAAACATAACAGCTGACATACCCATTTTCGTCGCCGCTATCTTTCACCTCCACATTGTCGTCCAGGTCGCTGTCCGATGAACTGTAATTGTGGCTTCGCTTCATTTTGCTTTCCAAGGCTGTGGTGATCAAAAGGCTCCTTCTAGACAAGGCTCCAGGGGTCCACTGACAGCCGAGCGTCTGTCCAACAGGGTAAACGTCAAATCTGCTTCTGCTCTGATTATTTTCACACCGCGGACACGGGGGCGGGGTCTCCGAGATGACATGGGCGGGGCCTGCCGAGACGGTGTGTGACCGGCTTTAAAAAAGTGTACAAACCCGTATATCAAAGAGGAAAGCTCTAATGAAGCTGTAGGCATTGATACTTGACATTATTTACACCAGTAGCCATTGCATCATTTTAAAAGAATATATTTAAAAGCTGACGTTTATGACATGCCCTGTAAAGAGCAATGAAGCTGGTCCTTTTTCCTGTGACAGGTTGTTCACAGACTCCTGGCCTAAGGATCAGTTGCCCTGCTGAGACCCCAATTCCTGAGCAAAAGGCCCCATTGTAGCAGGGGCCCCCTTTTTCTTTGGTGTTGTGGAGGACACTGCCTATTAGCAGAGTGTGCTGTTCATTGTCTGGTGTGTGCTGTGTGGTTCCACAACAGCACTGATCAGCCAGGAGGTCCGGCATTAGTCGCCAGACTCTCCTCCTAAACCCCCCTCCTCCTACCTCCCTAACAGGCAGACCTTCCCAGGGAATCATTCATCCACTGTGGATGAAAACAGTGAACATCACTCCGCTAGGGATGAAAAGAGAACCAGAAATGTTATTAGACGCTCAAGCTATTATGCAACGATAGATCTGGCACACAGATAACTTTGACCTCACTAAAATGCTTTGGTAAGAGCTTTTAATGTTTAATGCTATTTTGTAACTGATCCCTTTTG